TTCTTTTCTTGACCTATATTATCATTGTAAGAAGAAAATGAATAGGTATCTATCTTTATTGTTCATTGTTGCTCAGTTATGTTATCATTTGTTCACTTCTTGCATAAATATTTTTCCTAATAGAGTCATTTTCCACCTCTTTTCAAATTAAACTTTATCTAACTTGTCTTGATTAGTATTTCTTTTCTGTGATACTTCCAAGTTATTTTTACCATGAACACTGACTGTCATTTGTATACGTTACCACAAATCGAATCGGATGATCATAATGACACAAGTTCCGATGAATCTGATCTCGACATGATATCGATCGTTGATGAAACAGACAATATTGCCATTTCGATCAAGAATCATTTTAGTCTCGATGATGATGACGAAGATAACAATAACGAAGAGGCAACTAATGTTCAACAGTCGAATTTAGTCTTGAACTCAAATGATACTGAACTCGATGAGGATCTAGATGATCTGAATGCAGATATTGTATCAACTGATCAATCGTCCTTGCTTGGCTCATCATCAGCTGTATCTAACTTGATGGAGGAGAGTCCATCATGCAAGCGTAAACGCCGACAATGGTCAACTGCAGAGAAGCTACATGCCGTTCATATGTTGGAAAAAGCTGCTGATAATAAACTGCTCACGTAAAAAAAAAGGAACGTTGCTCAAGATATCAATTATCTCAATGTGTGAAACAAAAAGAAGATCTTATTCAACTATCAAAGCAAAAAAATGGTGAGTTTTGTTCTTCTACCAATTATGATACTGATCTCTCTTGCATCTCTAATTCTTTCTTACTTTGACTGAGTATAGGACGCAAACGAAAACGGCTTCCAGGTGCTGGACACAAGCTACAGTACCCCGAACTCGATAAATTGCTTCTCGAATGGTTCTGGGAACGTCGTGCTGCTCCTACCATTCAGTCAAAGGCATCTACAACGACAACACCGATCGTCGTTAAAGGAGAAAAAGTAACATTCAAACAATTACAACGACGTGGCAAACAACTTTGTATCGAACTCAAGCATGAGCATCCACAATCGACGAAGTGGTATGGTCGATTCATGCGCCGCCATCGTCTCTCCCGGCAAAAACCAAAAAGACAACAGAAGGTGTCACTCTATGAGGTTCATCTACTTATTACTTCATTTCATACATGCATCAGGCGTGCTAGTACATGGGGTTTCAAATGCGGTGCTATGAGCGCCTTCTTACCTCGTGACATGGTAAATATGGACGAAAGTCCTCTTAGTTTACTCGGTGACCAAACAAAATTATAAATCAATGATATGAACACAGTAAATGAAAATGAAGGTCACATATCAGACAAACGATTTTATACTGTCATACTAACGT